TAAATTTGTTTCAACTGTATCCTCACGTGCTGACTTTGTGTTGTATTTTTCATGTGATAAAAAAAATAATTGCTCACCTTCATATGTGGCTTTCACTTTGAAAAACCTTACAACATGTCAAAAGTAAAGTATGAGTAAAAATTTTGGAAAGAGTGGCTGCATGATGACAAAATTAAAGACTGGGTGAGGGCTGTTCCTGGGGATAAGACCAAGGCTCGATGTAAGTACTGCAAGTATGAAATTAAAGCAAAAATACAATATTTAAAGAGTCATGCAGAGACTACAAAGCATAAAACTGCAGTTCCATTTTGATATATTACACTGCTGACATCTGTTTTCAGAACTACACAGATAAATGAATCATCAAAAGTTGAAGGATCGGTCGCAATGTTTTTAAGTTGTCATTGTGCAATTTCAAACTGTGACCATTTTATTGATTTGTTTAAAAATACTATTTCTGACAGTAAAGTTATGGATGATGTGAAAATGGCTTCGCAGCAAGTGGACACATATTATAAGAACTACTTTATTTTCTCACTTTGAAAAAGATTGGCACTCTTCCGAATACCGGTCCCAAATTATTCACCGTTAAAAAATCCTATTCAGGGCCTCAAGAGGTCATTTTTTAACCCTTAACAGGGCGGTTGGCACGTTGTGTTGTGGTTTACAGCTAGGCTGCGAAATATGCGCCTTTCTCTTGTTCTTGTGGTTCACAGCTAGGCTGCGATAGCGGCGGCGAGATGCTCAATGATAATGTCACGGGTAGGTAAACTTCGTTCTTTTCGTTCGCCCTTGAAAGAATGGTTCTCACGTTGTGTTGTGGTTTACAGCTAGGCTGCGATATCTGCGCCCTTTGCCCCAAAGCATCCGATTTCAGCAGTCCTTATTAGTCGCCTTTTACAACTTTTATGTGGCAGTGGATCTATTTTTTCTTTCCCCTAAAACATGTGGCCCTGGACCCCGCAAGGGCAGTAATGGGTAATGTAAACAATGGATAAAAAATCATTCACGTCGCTTCAATGGATCGAACTCTATTCCTCCCCAAGCCGCTTAAAAAATGGATCTAAATCTATTCTTTTCCACGTCGCTTCAATGGATCGAAAACGATTCCTCCCCACAGCGCTTAACTTAACGTCTAAACATTGATATCCAGCGAGCAATAACGGCACAAGTGGACACTGATCATGATGGCCTAAACAGTTTTACTACATAACCTCCTGAGGGATGTTTTTCGGCAGTGAATAATTTGGGACCGGTATTCGGAAGAGTGCCAAAAGATTTAATCAATGATATTTCTACAAATAAATATAGTTTATTATTAGACGAATCAAATAATATTTCTGTACTGAAAGTGCTTGGTGTGTGTATTATATTTTACAACAACAATACAAAGTAGTTTCTACATATCTTGGACTAGTTCAATTGGAAAAGTGTGATGCAGAAAGTATAGTTCAGAAACTGAAGAAACTTTTAATCAGCAAACAGACAAAGAATTTGGCTGTAACTGGTACCGATAATGCCTCGGTGATGATTAGTATCAACAGTGGCGTTTATGCCAAGTTGAAGGAAGCTATCTCAGCTAGCATTATCACATAACTGGTTTTCCAAATCATTTGTCAGGCAACAGCAATACAATACATTATATACAGCCTTGAATGATTGTTCCACACCACTATAAACTCTGTCAGACTGCAAAACTAGATGGTTATCAATTCAACCAGCTGTTGAAAGAATTGTGAAACAATGGTTCTAGTTGAAGACACACTTTGAAATAACAAGACAAATGAAAAGTGCTCATCATCATCATCAGGTGCCTTGCCGACTGGCGTGAGCGATCATGCCTCTCCATAATCCGCGATCTCCTGCAGCATGTATCAGTTCGTGTGCCGACACACCTCCATGCCATGCAACAAGACTGTCAAGCATCTTCTCTCGTTGTCTTCCTCTATCCCTCCTTCCACAGATCTTTCCAGTGGTCACAACATGTTCTATTTTCCCTCTTCTCATAACATGGCCGAAAAATGATGACTGTCTCCTTCTGAAAAGTGCTACACAGCTTAAATACTATATGGAATGTACAGTGAGGAAAATAATTTGGCATTCCTTCTCTTTTTACAACCTATTCTAATTGAAGTGCAAACAGTTACTAAACTGTTCGAATCTAAACATGTGGATACAGTTAAATTACTTAATGATCTCACTTTTCTATTTCAATCAGTTGGTAAAAGACTGGTGTTGCCAATTTCTAAAGCTGATTTGCTCACTTGCACTATAAAGAGCTATTTGGCTCCTAAGCCATACCTTGGATATCAAATTTAATAAAAAATTGATGTTTAAAAAACAAAAGGACTGTTAACAGAAAATGAAGATAACAACTTAAGAAAACGCTGTGAAGATTTCCTTATCTCATTATTCAAGCAACTGAAGCAGAGACTTCCTAAAGATCTAGATGTATTGAAAAATATTTCACTCTTTTCTGTGAGCAACATACTTCAGCCAGTAAAGGTTATACCTAAATATTGTAAAGTTATGACATTTTTAGGGGCTACTGATAATAGTGTCGCGAAAGCAGAATATTAGTTGACCAAAATAAACTTAGCTGAATGGACAAACAAAACAGAAACTGAAACGTTTTGGAATTAAGACAATTTGTAACCATTTGTGACTTACTTATTACTTCTCTCATACTTTAAATAGATTTATTCTTACTGTGACAGTAATTAAAGAAAAAAAAAACAAAGAGAATTAAACCCTTTACAAATTGCTGCCACTGTAAAGCCGGGGGGAGGCAATATAAGATGAAGTCTGTCTTCACCGAATACACCTAATGCATGTTCATTGATCACCTCTGACAGTCAAAGCCCAGATCCCAGTCTTCTTGTGGTGGAACTGTTTTAAACCAAAAGGGAAGGGGGTGACAGCGAGTATCTGATGCTGTAACACCAGAATGCTCCTCAAGTATGATCATAGCCTACCCCAGAAAAACAAGGTGCTGTAATCAGAGGCAACCAGTTTATTATTAGACGAATCAAATAATATTTCTGTACTGAAAGTGCTTGGTGTGTGTATTATATTTTACAACAACAATACAAAGTAGTTTCTACATATCTTGGACTAGTTCAATTGGAAAAGTGTGATGCAGAAAGTATAGTTCAGAAACTGAAGAAACTTTTAATCAGCAAACAGACAAAGAATTTGGCTGTAACTGGTACCGATAATGCCTCGGTGATGATTAGTATCAACAGTGGCGTTTATGCCAAGTTGAAGGAAGCTATCTCAGCTAGCATTATCACATAACTGGTTTTCCAAATCATTTGTCAGGCAACAGCAATACAATACATTATATACAGCCTTGAATGATTGTTCCACACCACTATAAACTCTGTCAGACTGCAAAACTAGATGGTTATCAATTCAACCAGCTGTTGAAAGAATTGTGAAACAATGGTTCTAGTTGAAGACACACTTTGAAATAACAAGACAAATGAAAAGTGCTCATCATCATCATCAGGTGCCTTGCCGACTGGCGTGAGCGATCATGCCTCTCCATAATCCGCGATCTCCTGCAGCATGTATCAGTTCGTGTGCCGACACACCTCCATGCCATGCAACAAGACTGTCAAGCATCTTCTCTCGTTGTCTTCCTCTATCCCTCCTTCCACAGATCTTTCCAGTGGTCACAACATGTTCTATTTTCCCTCTTCTCATAACATGGCCGAAAAATGATGACTGTCTCCTTCTGAAAAGTGCTACACAGCTTAAATACTATATGGAATGTACAGTGAGGAAAATAATTTGGCATTCCTTCTCTTTTTACAACCTATTCTAATTGAAGTGCAAACAGTTACTAAACTGTTCGAATCTAAACATGTGGATACAGTTAAATTACTTAATGATCTCACTTTTCTATTTCAATCAGTTGGTAAAAGACTGGTGTTGCCAATTTCTAAAGCTGATTTGCTCACTTGCACTATAAAGAGCTATTTGGCTCCTAAGCCATACCTTGGATATCAAATTTAATAAAAAATTGATGTTTAAAAAACAAAAGGACTGTTAACAGAAAATGAAGATAACAACTTAAGAAAACGCTGTGAAGATTTCCTTATCTCATTATTCAAGCAACTGAAGCAGAGACTTCCTAAAGATCTAGATGTATTGAAAAATATTTCACTCTTTTCTGTGAGCAACATACTTCAGCCAGTAAAGGTTATACCTAAATATTGTAAAGTTATGACATTTTTAGGGGCTACTGATAATAGTGTCGCGAAAGCAGAATATTAGTTGACCAAAATAAACTTAGCTGAATGGACAAACAAAACAGAAACTGAAACGTTTTGGAATTAAGACAATTTAGAGATGCCTCATCAAGCAGTCCATTATGTAAGCTCTTTGAATGTGCCATGTCTGCCATGATACTACCCCACTCAAATGCTGGCGTAGAAGGAGTTTTCAGTGCTATAAATTATTTTAAATCAAACCTAAGAAAATAGGATGAAACTTAACCTTTTAAATGCTTTCTTGACAATAAAATTTGGCCTGATGAGAGTATGAAAATGCTGTTCAACTTATCAGCTCCCTGATTGTGAGATACCAGAGTCATTTTGGATCTGAAGCTTCAACCTTGTCATCCAAGCTAAGTTTATCTTGTTGATCTTGTGAGGCAGATATCAGTAAAGATGAGGACATGATTCTATAGGGTAAGTCATATCAATACCTATGTAATTTGTGACTCTTTCCATTTGGATGTTTTTTCTAGATGTTTCCCCACACTAATTTTGTGGTTTTTAAATATTTTTAGACTCCGTTCTGGATGTTTTTTGTCAAAGAAAAGTGGCAACACTGTTTCATAGTCAAGAAAGAGCACTCGCCCTTCCTGGAGCAAAACATCACATTCAATAACAGCAGTTTATTGCTAAGATTCAGTCTTGGATTATAATTTATTATTACAGTTTAATGTCGCTCAGTACTTTTTTTTTTTAAATTTGGAAAGTAATAAACTGATGTTAGGGCTGCATATAAAGAAAATTTTATGTATTGACAAATGTTTTAATTATATTTCATGGACTAGTCGTAGTCGAAACCTAATTTTGAAAGTAGTGTCCAGACACAAGCCATTGGCCTCTGAGGTGCTTACTTGTCACCTGCGTCAACGGAATCTGCCTCACTGGACATCTTTTTGTGTTTATTATCACCGTGTAGTTAATGACCAGTTTGGACTCTCACATTTTAACTGGGAGGTATAACTTTGTCTAATCCATCCATTTGTACCATTTTTATTTTATCCCTAATAATTTGTTGTTTACGAGGACATATGGCTCTCCTCCGAACATCTACAGCGGCATTATGGCGGCCAAACAAATTCCCTAACAGGGCCTCAGTCCTATACAAAATGCGGACTTGTCTGACTTCTTGCCGAGGAACAAATCGCAAAAAACTAGGATCGGAATAACGAAACAAATGCTCTAACAGGGTCTCAGCGATATGTTAATTGCGGACCTGTTTCTGCGACTATGCCACACCGCCAACAGTATCCCAGCGCTGCACGTAGCTGCACGGATTGGGGACTAAACTAGATGCCTGGGACTCACGGGCAGCAGCTACCGCATCTCCTGCATTTTTCTCCAATTTATTTGCTCCTGAGTCCCAGGCATCTAATTTAGATCCCCATCCATGCCGTGCGCAGGATACGCTCAGCAGTGAGTTTAATCGGAAGAACACTATTGCTAACGTGCGTCGGAGCGCGTGGTCTTCCCGGCATCTCCATATTATCGTCTGTAATGTTACGTGTCTCGAAATTGTCAATGGTTGCTAGTATCGTTTTGCAGAAATGCTCAAAATTGTCAACAGTTACTATTATCGTCTGCTACTATCGTCTGCAGTGTTGCTACTCTTGAAATTGTTAAGCAGTACTAGTTTTGCCGCGATGTGTTCGTCGCAGGAAGTCCACATTTGTACACTCGACTGAGGCCCTATTAGGGTATTTGTATGGCCGGGGTAGAAGTTCGGAGAAGAGCCGGGAAAATAAGTAAGTCACAGATGGTTATTAAAAAAAAAAAACCCACTAAAGACAATGACAACTTGAAATAAAAACTGTTTATTTTTACACCAACACTGTCCCTTTTTTTTCAACATAATTTCCACCAACATTGATGCACTTCTGTGTCATTCGCGAAATGTCTCCCGTCAAGGTAGGTTTTCATTGGACCACTTTAAGGGATAAACATTTGTCAGCATAAACAGGAAGCATTTCCTTATGGATGTCCTTTGCAAACAGCCCTTTGCCCCCCCCCCCCCCCACCCCATTAAAAAAATGCAGCACAATAGCACTTTGTTCTTTGAGGGTACACTCCATAGGTTACTAAGCACAGTCGCCATTTTGTTTCTGTGTTGTGAATGCGCATGAAACACCTAGCGCCACCTAACAAACGGAGACATGAAGTTGGATCTTGAGTGTTGCCTAATGACACCTTTAGAAACCACTAACTACATTTTCCCTGCCATCCCATAACCATTTGTGACTTACTTATTACTTCTCTCATACTTTAAATAGATTTATTCTTACTGTGGCAGTAATTAAAGAAAAAAAAACAAAGGAATTAAACCCTTTACAAATTGCTGCCACTGTAAAGCCGGGGGGAGGCAATATAAGATGAAGTCTGTCTTCACCGAATACACCTAATGCATGTTCATTGATCACCTCTGACAGTCAAAGCCCAGATCCCAGTCTTCTTGTGGTGGAACTGTTTTAAACCAAAAGGGAAGGGGGTGACAGCGAGTATCTGATGCTGTAACACCAGAATGCTCCTCAAGTATGATCATAGCCTACCCCAGAAAAACAAGGTGCTGTAATCAGAGGCAACCAGCCAGGAGACACGCGACAGCAATTAAAATTCCATGTGCTGATGCAGTGGAAATATATCTAAATCAGCAAAACAGCATGGTGCTTTTGCCTATGATAGACTTTCAGGCAGGTGCAGTACTGGGTCTTGCTTCAAAGGGGCTCAACCTAAAAGACCGAAAGTCCTTCTCAGATGTCCTTGGAGCCAGGGGACAGAATAGAACATCTGGCCAAACCAAGAAAGCTTTCAGAATAATGCATTGGAATGTGGAGAGGGTTAAAAAAAAAAAGTAAAAAACTAGTTTGAGAAACTATTTAAAATTAGATACAAATACATATAAATTGTATAAAAAAATTTAACAAAAAACCCATCTCAGTGAAGACCCAGTCTTCAAAATTAGAGGCTGTTATTACTACAGTTAGACCAAAGAGATAGAAAATATTATGGAATAATGATGCTAATATATATATAAAGCAATGTTTGTTTGTTTATCTGAAAACAGCAGTTAAATGTATGCGAGAGACAGCAGTGCAGATAAAGACAACTTATTTCAAGCGAAGAAAGAAGAAGAAACTCTTTACAGCAGGGCTTTTCAATTGATGGCCTATGGGCCGAATCTGGCCTAGCAAGTAGCCAGGGGATCATTGTCACCTGTGTTGTATTACTGATCTTTTTGTGCTGGGGCCTGGGTCCTCTGGCCTGTTACAATTCCCAATTTCAAAATTTTTTACCCTGAATAAACTTTGACTAGCACTGCTTTCCAGGCTACTGGAAGATATGAGTCCATTGTAACTGGGAAATTCAAAATAAAATGAGTTAAATAGAAAATGTATGAGTTTTCAGCAATAGGAGATATTTATGGCTGCCATTATTCATTCACAAATTTATGCCATTTCCTATTATCTCTGAGAGCAAGATATATGATTGTCCATTGTTTACACAGAGTGCAGCAGGAAGTCAAATCATTACCACTTCATAGTAAAATTAAATCCTGCTATTGTCAGTCCAGATATTTAGATTTGCAAACGCATCATAATTATAGACAGTCAAGATGTTTTGGACAAATTGGGGGGAAAATTAATCCACAATTTGTAGAAAAATTGCAGACTTGGTGAAACAGGAAACAACATACATATAAATACCTTGATGGCTTGGCCACAGGGTAAAGGCGGGGCAATAACAAATACATGATCCTTGATTCTGATGATCATGAGAGATGGTGAACCATGACCACCTCAGTTTATCGTCATGATAAGGATTGAGAGGTCCATGCACCAACGGCAGACAGTTTGGAGGAAGAAAGCAATGATTTTTATATACAAACTGAACATAGCCTTAGCACAGTGTAAAACAAGAGAAACAACTGTAGCGCTAGATGACTTTAATGAAAAGGTTGGGCAGGAAAGAATGAAGACATTACAGGTGGATATGGTCATATGGAGAGACATGAGAGAGCAGAAGAACTGGTTGAACGGGCTAGGACACATAAAATGGTTATTAGAAATACTCACTTTAAACAACATCCTAGACGCATGTGGACTTGGAAAAGCCCTAGAAATAATTTTTGCAACCAGATTGGTTAAATACTTATAAACAGTCAGTTCAGACACTGTTAAGGGTAGCAAAGATTGCTATGTGCAGGTTTCCCCTAAAAAATTGGAAATGCCTGCGCGCAAGTCATAGCCTCTGCCAGTCAAGTCAGCCCAATGCCTGAAGGGGTAAAATACCAGGCTATGGCTGAGGTAAGCCAGACAGAAACCCTGTGAGTTGCGGCTGATGATGGACCCACCGACAAGTGGACATGTCCCGATCCCCACCAATTTAACATCCAGGGAGCCCACCCTGGATAGTCAAGGGTGGAGAAGGGAAACTCCCACAACTTCTGGTTTTTGGCAGGCAGTTTTTGGATGAATCAGGACACACATAGGGATTCTTCATAACTCTCATCACCGTAGATGGATATGTCGGCATGAATAGCATGGGCACCTGAAGATGGAAACTGACAACACAATCTAGGGTTAATGAGTATGCTTAGTTACCTATACCATTATGCGGCTGTTCCTGTGGACTACTGCCAGACATTAACAGCACCGGATTCCGAGCCCCGAAGGGATCCACCCCAAACTACTGATGGTAACTCTGCACATCGGCAGACCAGGATGAAGCAGAGTAATGTGTCTGGCCAAAATAATACCAAAACTTTAAAGATAATGCAATGGAATGCAGAAGCAGTCATGATGAAAAAGCTCCAATTGCAACGATTCATCTATGAACAAAAATATTGATGTTGTCTACATTCAGGAAACCATTTACATACAGGCTCTTGCTTTCTGTCAGAGGCTATAGAACATATTGACTTGACAGAAATGGCAAAAAAGAGACATCATTACACTAATTAAAAATACTATTGCAGCTACAGAAACTTCCAGAAGCATCAGTGAGTCTGAACATCTGACTGTAAAGCTACATATCCTTTCGGAGCCTCTATACGTTACTAACTTTTACTATCCCAACAACAAGAAATTAGAGCTAGAGGACATCCCAGTAGCTGATAAGAGCCACCTAATTCTCTGTGACTTTAATAGTCACTCTCCTTGTTGGGGCAATGCTTCTGTAGACACAAGAGGAGAAGAGGTCGAGGAATGGATGGTAGAAAACCTTCTGATACTAATCAGTGAACCTGACTCTGCACCAACTTTCTACTCTAACAGTGGTGAACACAATGTACACCTAGCTATGGCTACAGAAAACATCTGACAAAGGGCAGACAAGAGAAGTGACGAAACAGCTGGGAGAAAGTGATCAAAAACCAATCGCCGTCGTGATAGGAGAGGTCAAGCCTCTAGAAAACAGGAAGAAGATAGCCAGCTGAAACTACAAGAAAGCAGACTGGGACCTCTAAAAAAACTTAACTGAAAAGAAGCTATAGGAGCTAATGAGTTTAGAAAAAGCACAACTCTTACCAGTTTCATACTTGAAACAGCACAAAAAATCAACCCCTTGAGGTCAAAGGTAAAACAATGAAACCTGGACCCAAGAACTGCAACAACTGCACCAGGGAAGCACTGAAACAAGAATAAAAATGGAACTAGATCCCTTAGATCTCAGGGTAACAGAACACAATTAACATCCCAGAGCGAGAGAAGAAGTGACGAGAGAACTGAGGAAAACTTTCATACTTTTAATGAAAACACCTGGTGCAGTGGAATGTGGAGAACATCAAACAGGTAGTTTGAGTCATACAACTAAAATATTAATGATAATTATCATGAGAAGAATAAGGTGCAAAATTAAAACCAGAAATTAAAGAAGAGCAGTGTGGTTTTATTGAAGGTAAAGGCACAAACAAGGCCATAGTTATCTTGAGAACACTTTCAGAAAGAATGATTGACATGAAC